AAAAGAACACGTTGTAGATGTATATTTGTCTTGTCTGCTACTTGTCATCAGCAGACACGTGAATATAACAACAATGATGTTTATGAAGGAAATTTAGGGAGGGTTTTAAGAGTGTGTGGGGGGAAACTCTATCATATCAAAGAATGCTATCATAGATATCAAGGCAGCTTAAAACATGGCAATGGCAATGGCAAGTAGTGCCAAGGAAGTGCAGCTCAGAGCTAATAATTATACTTGGCCTTCAAGCCAGTCTAAATGACAGACCTGTGCCCTGTAACCATGTTGGTTGACTAGCACAGCATTGACGCTTCCATGAATCAAATTTGCAAGGTAAAGGGCTGTTAAAATCACACTGTAATACATAGGATTCGGATGAAAAATCCAACTTTCCATTCCACTCTTTCTACATATGAACGACATTATTCACTATTTGATTGTACAGCATCATGAGCAAGAATATTACAAAGAGACCTCGACAACACAAGGAACAAGAGAAAACAAACCTTCACTCTTGAGAGTATGAGGGTGGCATGTCTCTCCTGCCACTGAGAGAGATCGTTCCTAATCCTGGCTGAATTCGTTAAAGTGTCTTGAGCATTAGTGGCTTCATCTTCATCTGGACAACATACAATCAGTAGACGAAAAATATAAATATCATCACAGGATTCTCTATTAGGAATGCCATGCTACATCAATTCATTTGTTTAACAAACAACATATTTATACCGTCAGAACTTGATACTATTAAATCTCCAATGTTTCCCTTTCTTTATACAGCCAAGCAAGCCAGTAATACTCAACAAGGAGATCAAAGAAATTTTTCTCGTTGGCGATCTAGATAGCGGAAATTATCGAAATTGACAGCCTTGTGTACTGAATCGACCATATACATCATTACCCAACTGGAAATCTAAAGATGGTCAATAACCCCTCATAATTTCTCTCAAATTTTCTGAATTTGGGAACTAAAATACTGGGCAGAGAATACTGATAGAAAGAATAAGCTTACCTTGGAGAGGGAAATTTTTAAATGTATCAATCGTGAAGGACTTGGTGTAATTGATCAAATCCTCAGTAACCCCATACAATTGGTCTTCGTCCTCCTCTTTTGGAGTTTGATTGTGACTGAGGATTTGAGGCTTCGGTCTTTCTGGAAGTCCATGTAGATTGCGAGTAAACCAGTTCATGACTCGCCTCGTTTTCTGCTACAGCCACCACTCCAACTGGAAAGCACGGCTGGTACAGAGCACAGGAGTTGATGAATCCGATTCGATGCATGTTACTTAAATCATTATACGCATTATAAGATAACTTGTTGCAATAATTCATCGATAATTCTGTATCGATTCCGTGTGTAATAATACTCCCTCCGTTCCCTCCTCAAGAGACATCATTGATGCTTATAGCATGATCCTATCTATAAGAGACACTTAAAAGTTGTCTCTATTTTTTTGTATGATTTCGTATTTTATCCATATTTATGGTCTCCAACTCACACTCTCTCTCCTTCCCACTTCTCTTTTTTTAAATAATTACCATTGCTCTCTCTCCTTATTAATGAGGATATTTTAGAAAAAAAAATTATACTTTTTATATATTGATTGTTCTTAACTAATTTTAACAACTGTTTTTTTTGAACACATAATTTGGTTATTTGTCTCTTATAATAAGAAACGGAGGGAGTAATTAGTATTTATATGAGCCGGCAAGTAGCATAAACTGTGCAATTGTGCATTGATCCGTCCAACGCGACAAATCAACCCAATCTGGATTGTGAGTTGTGACCTGACTGGCCGTCTGGGCCGGTCTGGGTTGCAGGCGGTAAGTCCATTACTGGCATTGGCGCGATTTCCTAGATTTGACCCCAACCCAAAAGAATAAATTTTTTTTTTGCCAGAAACCCAAAAAAATAAGATAGAAATTCTAAATTAAGATACCTCGAACGCTTGATACATTGACGTCCTTAGATTGCTTTCGCTCCATCTAGAAGTTTGAATTCATGCTCGGGTGAATCGCAATTAGGTTCCAATGAGAGATTTAATCCCCTAAAGTCCATTAATTGAAGAGCATATAATGATAAGTTTCTAAGTAAGAAATAACAAAAAAATTTCTTACTAATTAAATTTTTTCTTACCACCTCATGGTAATTTTTCCTAAAATGTTTCTTCCTGTTGAATAATGAATATGTCACGCCACTAAAACTTATATTCAATTATTGTGTTTTTTTTTTGAAAATATTCAATATTTGTGTTTGAATTAGAAGAATAAGGGGTGTTTGGATAGAAACCAAACCATGGTTTCAGAAGACTTTTACGGTTTACGAAGTAAATATGCAGAGGAGTTTGTCTCATTTTGCGGAAAAGTGCTTCTGAGAAATACTTTTTGTGGTTGCCAAACACTCCCTAAGTATTGAGATAATAAGCGGGACTGAACTTGTAACTTCCAACTTACATGGAGGTTTTTTATCTATTCAGTTACAAACTGTCCTATTCGATTATTCATGAGTGACTTTGCTGCATGAAAGCTCTTTTACAAGTGTCATGAATCTAATTCTTCTTTGCTCACTTATATACAGCGTCCCCACTCCCACCCCCCTCCCTCTTTGGTTTTCTTGTTTTCTTATGCTGACCACATTTATTCTTTTATGGGAGTAATCATATTTGAGACCTTATTGGGCACTAAATGTGAGCACATTTTTTTACAAGAATTCAAACATTAGTTCATTATATTATGAGAGACTAGTTCTTTCTGATAGACCTAATTCTCATTGGTTTTTTTTCCCATTAAGTTGAATTGAATCTAATTTTTGCTGGGCCAAGTTTAATTTGGATTGGTCCATTACGTTATAAAAACTTACACTTGAACATAACCAATAAGGGTTGGATCTAGTAGAAGAGACTAGTTTCTCATAATGTGATAAATCAAAATTCGAATCCTCGTTGGGAGTGGTGTTCATATTTAGTACCTGACAGTACCTTAAATAAAATTGTCTTCAATAGATGCTTTGGTCACACAAAAAGGAAAAAACACAGCTGGGCTGAAGGTTTGCTCCAACCTGAGCCCAGCCAGCCCATGGTTAATCATTCTTTTCCCGAATTCAAATCAAAAAAGAATTTCAACTATCTAGTTGCCCGAGTAAAGGGGGGAAAAAGATTTTTAAAAATGATCCACTCTATTCTTGTGTTTGGTTTTATGACTTATATTTTCTTGTACGTCATCTGGCATTGATAACCTTTTTAGACTAGAAGGAATGGAAGAAACAAGAAATAAATGCCCTTTTATTTTGATTATCCAGAAAAATAATTTTTATTTTATCTTTCTAAAAAAATTTTGTTCTGCTCAAAATTGTCTCTTTGGGCATAAAATCATGTCATGCATCGTCAACTAATATTATTAATTAATATGCCTTTATGTCCTTAATCTTTAATTTCAGCCTAAAAAGAAATAGTCGTTATTCCTAAATAATGTTATTATTATCTAAAGAAGACGTTATAAATACTTCTTAATCAATTATTTTGTTTAAAAAAATACATTGAATATTGAGAAGAGTGTGATCGTTTCGTGACTAAATATAAATTAATTAAACACAAATTAAATCATCTCAATTATTACTCCTTAATTTCAAATAATTTTAGAATCGTATCGAACGTAATAAGAATCAAGATTGTTGCAAATGATGAGATCCATGACTATTTCATTAATCAGCCTAATTCTAGGTTTTGATTAAGTTGAACGTTCATTAGGCCCAGGCTATTCATAATTTTTTTTTTTCCTGAGCTTGTTAGTATATAGAGAGGTCATATTTCATAGTGTGTTATACTTACACATAAGCCTATCATAACTGGGGATAAACACGTTGTGTTGTTTTTTATGACATGGGAGATAAAAGCTTTGTTTAGAGTTTCATTCAAACGAATTTTAAACAAATCTACATTAGTCCAGACAAAATTTTCTTCACGTACTTATCTCATTTTTATAAATTATATTTAAAAAACTATTTATAAATTAATCCAAACAAGTTCAAATTCAAAGGCCCTGGGTCGTGCAAACTACAAGAAGAACATGCATATACAGATTAGGGTATCTGACAGGAATAAGTTAGGACATTTATGATTGCCCTATATATGTCGCTATAGTACTCTAGTCCCTAGAGTATGTCATGTTTACGTTTTACAGGACTTTAAGGTTTCTCTGAGTTTTTTTTGGGGAAATTGAATCTCTACACTGCCCTTCCCATCCTCTTTCTCTCCACTACCCTTTTTTTCTCTTTACAAACCATTGGATCAAAACTCCAATAGTCCAGATTTAATATTTTATAACATTTTATAAAAATAAATATTATGATAAAAATAGATAAATAAATTTAAACTGTTAAAATCTAATTTGAACAGTTCATAACTATAGACTGTTATTATAGAGCAAATTTTTTTAAATTTTTTTATTACAATTGTAAACTGTTCAGATCAGATTTTAACAGTTTAAATTTATTATTTATTTTTTAATAACATTATTTTTATAAGATGTTAAATCTGGATCATTGAAATTTTGATCTAATAGTTGTGAAGAGAAAAGAATGATAGTAGAGGGGAAGAGGATGGGAAGGTAGTGGAGAGAATCCAAGTCTTTTTTTTTGACCAGGGAGGTTTTTCTGAGTTCGTTTGGCTAGTTCGTGTTAAAGTTATAAACTTTGTTTTTTGGCCAATCTTAAAGTTATAGACTAGTATTATTATGTTTTGACCATTCTAATGCTTTTGATTTCCGGAAGGCTATATATGCAGAATTTTATATAATTTTATTTTAGCGTATATTAATAGCATGTCTTTCAAGTTATTAGTTCTAGGTTTTGTTTTACTGATTTATGTGTTGATACATTTAATGTGTTTGATACTCAAAAATGGTATTATCGATAATAGTAAGGTATAATAATATATATACTCCTTTGGTCCTTAATATAAGGCCCATTTAACTAATTTGATTAGATTAAGGAAGTTAGGTAAGTTTTAATTATAAGAGAAGTGATACATTTTTCCTAAAACACCTAATCATCTTTTTAATACCTCCTCTCATTCTTCTACTTGATTATGATTGAGGGAGTATCCATAGGGGTAATTTAGAGAAATTAATAAATATGAGAAGTGAGTCTTATATTTAGGACCAAAACCAACTCAAGAAGTGGGTCCTATATTAAAGACTGGAGGAGTATATATATATTCAAGTGGGTATTATCAAAGAAAAGAGATTGATGAAATGTTCTGTGGGTGACTTGGGTCTTGGGATTCCTTGAGGAAAAGGGAGGGGGCCATGATTGGGAAGGCAAAGTGGCGTGCAATTCGGTTCATGATGGGATGCAATTCTTTGCCCTATCCTATGACGTTCATGTCAAGCAACCCTCTCAATCACTTTCTTCTTGCATCACTATTCCGTCATTCACCACATAATATTTACTGTTATTAATTAATTTAAAGAGATTAAAAATTAAATAAATCATTTTAAAATATTGTACTTAATATTATTATTTTTAAACGAATTTGTCTGGCTTATAAATTGATATATAATATATCACATATATATATATAAATATTTCAAAGATATCGCGTAACATATACTAATTAAATAATTTTTTTAAATTAATCAATTGAGTCTTATATTAAAAATCAGCGATAATATTATTATTGAAATTGGAATGTTACGGACTTCATTCAAGAAGAACCTCTTTTTTTTTGTTTCTCAAATTATAGAGCGTACTACACTTTTTATCCCTTTCTTGTGTATCTACTCAGGTTTGTAACTGTGCTGAAAGAATATAAGAGTGAAAAGTAAAGTGTGTTGTGTTCAAATTGAAAGAATATACTCAAGGGAAGCGTACAAAGTACAAACAGAAGACCCTGAGTTTTCTCACCTGCTTAATTCTCTTTATTGTCTCTTTGGTGCATTTTGTTCAAACTCGTTCTGTGAGTGTGAGTGTGAGTGTGCTTGTGTGATGAAATATTGGTGTGTTTTTTTTTTTTTAATTTGTCCCTAAAAAAAGGGTATATCTTCATAAAGTTCGTAGGCTTGCTTCTTTTTATGTCATCCTCATGCGTGCAAACGTCGTCAAGAATTTAAGAGGCAGATTAACAAGAATTTAATAATAAACCACGAAAAATACTCATTAGATTCGCAATGTAGGGGATGATTTATTTGCAGA